GGTGCATCCACCTCGCCAATGTGGATGTTATAAATCTTCACGTTCAAAGTCCGTATTTGTCACGCGCGCGGGTGGGGGGTCTACCGCGGATAACAGAGCAGGCAGGAGGGGGAGAGGACGAGGAGAAGAGCTTTGGACTTATTTCTAATTTTATCTGACTTATTTAATTTAATTTTAATTGTTTTTATCGTCATGCAGGCTCTGGGAGAAAATTAATTTGATGATGAGTTTTTTCAAATAAAAATCGTTAATTACTCTAAAGCAAAATGAGGTAAATTCTGTGTCAATTGCAGACATTCAGTTCACGTGAGCAGCTGTCAGCACCTGTCAACCTCCAGACGCATGACGGGGCATGTCTGAGCCGGCCAATCACTTTTGTCGACATTGATCAGCTGACTGATTTAAATACATCTTAACATTCATGAGGTACTTTGCACTGACTGTTTATGGTTGAATGTGGGCGTGTAGAGGGTAGAACCTGAGGTGAGACCTCGTGCGCAAACTCTGATGTGCGGCTGTGATTTATAAATGAAAGGTACGCAGAAACGTGCATATGCACGGTTTCATAAATCAGAAAATTTTTTTGGCGTACGCCATTTCCACCTTTTGGTGGTACGTTCACTTTTATCATCATTATCATCATCATAGTTTATTTATAAAGCACAATAAAAACCAAAGTGCTGTACAGGCACATAAAATAAAACAATGAACAAAGTACAGTAATAAAAATGAACAATAAAATAAAACAAAACAGCAAAGGCTGACCTAATGATCCTGCTCTTCAGACTTAAATGCCTGTTTAAACTGATGAGTGTTTAACAGAGACTTAAATTCATTTAGAGACCCAGCAGACCTCACAGACAGCAGGAGATTGTTCCAGAGCCGAGGTCCTGCAACTGAAAAGGCTCTGTCTCCCCTGGTCACAAGCCGAGACCTGGGAACAACTAAAAGCTTTTGATTTACAGATCTCAGGGATCTATATGGAATRTGAGGCTGTAAAAGCTCAGTGAGATAATGAGGTGCCAAACCATTTAGACATCTTAAAACTAAAAACAAAATCTTAAAAACAATTCTAAAAGAAACAGGCAACCAGTGAAGAGAATACAAAATCGGAGTGATGTGTTCGCGACGTCTTGTCCCTGTTAATAAATGGGCAGCTGAATTCTGAACCAGCTGTAGATGATGAACCAAAGACCCTTCCATCCCACAATAAAGAGAGTTGCAGTAGTCCAGTCTAGAAGTGATGGAAGCATGAATAACCCTCTCAAGTGCATTATGACTTTACTTATAAGTCTCAAATGATAAAAGCTAGACTGGACTACTGCACTGACCTGTTCTTTAAATTTAAAATCAGAATCCAAAATCACCCCAAGATTTCTAACAGACACACGGCCAGACAARGGGTCCTTTTAGTATGGTTTCCACGCAATCCTTTATAAATCTTGTAGGGATGAGTTATTTATGCAAATAACTTACCTTACATC